GGGAAGGGGCGCATGGAGCTGCGGGGGTCTGCCTGTGCTTTTGGTACCCAGCGCTCCCAGGGGCAGAACGTGCCTGCACCATTGTGGGGAGGGGGCGAGTGGTGAGGGTGCTGTGCTGGGGGTGCAGGTACCTGCTGGGGTGGGGGCACAGCCCTGCTCATGGGGACGAGGGCTGGATGCTGCTGGGGCTGTAAGAGCGAGGGAAGGTGACCCCCCCCTCCAAGCCATGAGGGTTGGGGGGATACGGCGCCCCAAGCCAGCAGCGTGGTGGGGTGTACCTGCTGTGCTGAGTTGAGCACCGGTGCTGTCTCGGCTCGGTGGGGGCTGCTTCCCATCGCAGCTGGCCAGGCTGCTGTCGCTCATGTTGCGGGAGAGTCTCTGCTTCTCATCCTGGGGTGCAGAGGGGAGGCTCAGCAGCTCGGGGCAGGGGGTCAGACTGCATCACAGCACCCACGGCCCCAGGAATGTGGGACCCTCTGGCAGGATGTGATGCTCCCCAGCACCCCGCCCACAGCCCAGACCCGGACCCCTCCCCTGGGTCTCCAGCCTTGTGCCCCACCAGTCTCCACTCCTGCCCTCCCTGCCATCAGCCAAGGCTACCACCAGCCCCCCTCAAGAGGGCTGTCCTAAGGCCTGGTGCTGCCATTTGGGCCAGGGGCTTCAGGGGCAGCAGGACATCTAGGGGAGCATGAGTAGGGGCCCAGGGAGGAGGGGAGGCACCAGGGCTGTGCTGAGCATCACCTTGAGCTCTGGCAGCTCCGAGATGGACTGGCGCGGGTCCTGTCGCCAGTACCCGAAGAAGGTGCTGGGGCGGTTCTCCTTGCGCTCGTTCTTGCGGTCCTCACTCTCGGAGGTGCGTGGGGCAGGCTTTGGGGTTGGGGTTGTCTCCGTGCTGTGGAGCAACTGTAGCTGGTGAGGGGCAGGCGGGAGAATGGGGAGCAGGGCTACAACCCCCCCAAGGAGACAGGGCCACGCTGGTGTGGCAGGATGGACCCCTGAGATATGGCTTGGTATCAAGGGAAGCCAGGGGGGCAGTGGGCTGGGGAGGTGGGAGAGAAGCATCTGAGGTGGAGGAGAGAGGATGGCTCAGCAGTGTGGGGCCAGCAGGGAGGGGTGAGGGCTGTGAAAAGGGGTGTCTCTGGGCCAGTGCTCCCCACCACAGCACTTGCCTCTCTCCAGCATGGCTCAGCCGGTCCCAGTCGGCTCCCCAGGCCATGGACCGGGGTCGTCCACTTCGCCGGTCCTCGAAGCAGATCTGAGAGCACAGGGAGCCTGAGAGTGAGCCAGGAGGGGTGAAAACACAAAGCCTCCCCTCTCCTTCCCTTGGGTCAGCCAGGGCCAGCAGTGCCCTCTGCCCAGTCCTGGTTTTGTGCCAGTACCAGCCACCCCACAGCAGTGCTGTCCCCCCACCCAGGGCAGGGGAGGTACCCCGAGGTCTTTCATGCACAGTGCCCCTCACCCTGTTGCTGCAGCCCCATCAAGCTGTTCCCTGCTGCCCCAGACCTGCGTTGTCTTGTCCACTGTCATCCTGTGGGTGCCACGCACCACCCGTGCAGTGCCTGCACCGTGCTCAGCCCCCTGGCACTCACCATCTCCCCTGGCACTCACCATCTCCCGCACCCCGTACTGGCTCTCCACCTTGGCCCGCAGCTGCACGAAGCACTGCTCCATGCGCTCGTGGAAGGGCCGCAGGTCCTCTGTCACCTTCCTCCCATGGATCCGGATCCCCTCTGCCAGCAGTGGGGTCTGCAGAAGAACAGGGATGGGTCTGCCTGGGCTTGCGGAGCTCCCCTGGGATGGGGACACTGGGCACTTGGCACCCCAGGGTAGCTGTCCTATCCGGCCACCAGAGGGATGACGTAGTCTCTACCTGCCAGGCAATCAGGTCCTTCAGCTTCTCAATGTTCCCCTTGTCCTCAGGGTGCTCTTGCAGGTAGGACTCCTGGAAAAAGGCCTGCAACGATCCCCTGTCAGACCCACTGATGGACTGGCTGGCTCTGCACAGGCAGGCCATGGCATGACACAGTGCCAGTGCCTGTGGCCACCAGCCTCAAGAGTGCCCATGCCAGTCCTAGCGCAGCCCCCCACGTGTCCTCACCGTCTCATACTTGGCGAAGCCGCCCATGACGGCGGGGTCCACGATGCCATTGAGCAGCATGGAGAGCGGGTTGATGGGCAGGCTGGGGTCGTTCTGGTGCCGGTTGATCTCACTCATAATTTTCTCATTTGTTTTCCTCATGGTCTCGATGGCGTTTTCCAGGGGGGAGATGATGGTCTGTGCCCAGAGCGGGAGGGAAGGTCAGCAGCCAGCTGCCCCAGAGACCGGTCTGTCCTGGTGTGGGCCAGCAGCGTGGGCTCTCCCCAGCCCCGCAGGAGAGAGGCCCCCATGGGTACACATCTCATCCCACGAAGCCCCTCAGACCCCTGGCACCGGCTGCCTGGAACTAAGCCGAGGGCTCATGGACTCACGTACTGGCTCTGGGCACAGGCTGGTGGCAGGGCTAGTCCTGCAGGCAAGAGGCCACAGGCCAGGTGACAGACCTGTGCCAGCAGCAGCTCAGTGGTGAACTTAGGGGAAATTTGGGTAAACGGGATTATCTCGGGGCAGGGAAGGGGGGCAGCTGTGCAACAGCAGCGTGCACAGCCGGAGCACTGCGGCAGACACAAGCGTGTGTGGCAGCACTCGTGCAGCTGTGAAGTTGCCCTGTGGCACAGCTGTCCTGTAAGAGCCTGGCTCGGGCACTTCACACGCCTGCCTTGCTGCCACGCTTGAAACACCCTGGACTTTGGCCTCCTCCTGCTGACAGAGGCGTCAAACCCACGCACAGAGCTGTTGTCAGCAGTGTTTCTGCTGAAACTCCTCCAGCCCCTCTGCTGCTCCCTGCCTCCCATGGAGATGTGCATCCCAGTGGGTGAGCCACACAAACCAGTCCCTGTCACTGGGTCAATGCTACCGGCACCAGCTGATGGAGGCTGTTGGTGCCCTGAGTGCAGGGGCGGGGTACTCGTGCCCAGTATCAGCAGAGAAAACCTTCCCCATGACGGGATGTGCTCCCTGCACCCCAGCTTCAGCCACAGGAGCTTGGGAAGCCTGGCAGGGGCTGGAGGCAGCAATCCCACCTGGGTCTAGGGGTTGTGATGCTGCTCAGGGAAGGGATGGGCTGGGAAGGGCCCCGCTCCCCCCACATCCCCTCCTCACCGTGGTGGTGGAGGTCACCACAAACCAGCGCAGGATGCCAGGCAGGGGGTAGGCTGTTACAAAGGTCGTCCGCTCAACCCACATGTTCTGCAGGGAAGGCAGCAGTTATCCCACCAGCAGTTATCCCACCGCCCTCCTCCCCATCACCCTGGGACACCCCTGGCTGCCCCATGGGGCAGGGGGCTCCCACCTCCCCTTTCCATGGGCACAGGACCAGCATCTTCCCCTTCCCAGGACTAGAGGACCCCCTGGGGGGTCTCTCCCGCATCTCACTTCCTCTGGACACCTGGCTCCTCGCAGGGCCCCCCAGCTCTCCCCATTCCTCCCAGCCAGGGGTCCCAGCAACTCCCACCAGCACTCACTGCAAATTCATTGTCTGGATCCTTTGGGCCTTTCTTGAAGGGCCGTGAGTAGCTGAACTTCTGGATG